CGACAAGAAACCCCCATTCTATTCCAACTCTTGACTCTTTTTTTATTGGCCTTTTCCCTTTCTTTCTCTGCCACTCTCCTGAAAATCAATACTCTCTCGCTGTCCTATTCATCGAAAAGTGCCAAATAGCCTTGAAGGTCGTTGTCACCATTAAAGGTTGCTCTGCGTCTCTTAAGGGAATGTAATCTCTTGTCTTACTGTCTCCAGATGTGTTTTGGGACCTTGAAAGATAGATTTTTTTTTGTTTAATTTAAAAATCCGAATTCAGCATAACATTATCTTCAAAATGAGCCTAAGCACGACCCATTTTTGATAACTTTGAAGATTTCGAAAATTTGAAAAAAAAATAATTTTTTAGATTTTTTCCCGTTTTTCGAAATTCAAGGTATTTTTAGAGTGTCCAAACTAGTTTTCCAGGGTCCACACAAAAATAAAAAGAATTTGAGCCCAGAAGGAATCGAACTTTTGGCTTTGTAGACCGTAAATTTTGGTGCCAAAACCCACTGAGCCATTTGGGACACTTTTTTGAAAAGTGCCATTTTTGAGCTTTTTTAGTGGTTTTTGGAGGCTGTATGTGGATTTTAGTCTGTTTTGGACCGTTTTTTTCTCATTTTCCTTGTTTTAAAACTGTCGTTTCTGACTGTTTTGGATCATTTTTCATAGTTTTAAGAGTTGAAAATCAATTTAAACCTGTTTTTTTAAGTTTGGATGGCTCAAAAATAGCATTTCTCTGCGTCTCCATAATCCCTTGCAATAAAGCACATAAAATATTCCGTTTTTATGATAATACATAAAAGCGAGAGAGCATGGACTTCTAGAGAGACGCAGAGAGAATCGTGGAAATCGACGGAAAAGCGAACAAGAAACCCCCATTCTATTCCAACTCTTGACTATGTGTGTTCTAATGGTCTTTTTATTGATTTTTTGAGAAATTTAGTGAGTTTTTGACTGAAATTTTGAAAATTAGAGAGTTTTTTGTTTCAGATAACCTTCCCTTTGGACCACTTACTGAATGAGGTCCACAATTTTTTCAAATGATTTTTCTGAAAATTGTGAGATTTTTTTTGGAATTTTGAATTTTTTATTATCCGAATTGTTTTCAGAATCAAAGTTATGCTATGAAGACGTCGATCAGAAGAAAGTAGAGATGACAATATCCCAGGTTTCTTGCTCAAAGAGGTTCTCATGGTCCATGACATGCTTCTCAACAAAAAGTAATTTTCCAAAGAAGTGATAATGATATGATTTTGAAATATTACAGACTTGTCTTGTGCTCTTTCGACTTGAATCACTTGCTTTTTTGGAGTATGCGCCTTTAAATTTTTGGGATTTTTCGAAAAATTCAAATTCAAGCGAATTGGGCCTTGTTTATACTCATTTTGAAGGAAATTTTGCGTTGAATTTGGAATCAGCTCGTCAAGCGCTTCAAAATGAGCATAAACATGCCTATACAAATCAAAAAGTTTTGAGCTCAGAAGGAATCGAACATTTGGTCTTACGCACCGTAATGTTGTATGCCAAAACCCACTGAGCCATTTGGCCCACTTTTCTGAAAATCGCTGTTTTTGACGGTTTTTTCGGGGTCTTAGGGTGTTTAGTGATTTGAAAGCTTTTTTCATGTCTAGAAATGCCAACAAAGATCAAAATTCGCAAACAAAAACAGTTTTGAAATTTTTTTCAAAAAATGTTTTTTTCAAAATTTTAAAAATCTCATTTCCACACCTCAAATGAGCCTAAAAACTTCATTTTTGAGGTCTACACAAAAATAAAAAACTTTCACCCCTAAAAGGAATTGAACTTCTGGCAATGTGGGCCTTAAATTTTGGTATCAAAGCCCACTAGGCCATCTGGTACAATTTTTTGAGAATCGCTGTTATAAACGGTTTTTTTGGGGTTTTAGGGTGTTTTTAGTGATTTAAGAACTTTTTTCATGTCTAGAAAAACCAAAAATGATCAAAACTCGCAGAAAAGCGGTTTCGATTTTTTTCAACAAAAAAATTTTTTTTTCAAATTTTCAAAAATCGCATCTTTATACCTCAAATGAGTCTAAAAAAGTAATTTTCCAAAGAAGTGATAATGATATGATTCTGAAATATTACAGACAATGAAGGACACACTATCTTCCACCTTGTCTTGTGCTCTTTCGACTTGAATCACTTGCTTTTTTTGGAGGTATGCGCCTTTAAATTTTTGGGATTTTTCGAAAAATTCAAATTCAAGCGAATTGGGCCCTGTTTATACTCATTTTGAAAGAAATTTTGCGTTGAATTTGGAATCAGCTCGTTAAGCGCTTTAAAATGAGCATAAACATGCCTATACTTAGGCGAAAAAATTTTGCTGAAAATTTCAAATTTGAGCCAATATGGTCGTGCTTTGGCTCATTTTAAAGCTCTTAACTTCCTGAATTCAAATTCAATAAGCTAAGGAGCTTGAAAACTATTCTTTCAGCTCCAACCCACAGTTTGCACTCCAGGATATGTGGCACCTGAACTTCTCTGAGAAGTATGGAGCTGAGATTGACATTTGGTCGGCTGGAATCATTATGGCTGGGATTATCCTTGAAGGTTAAATCAGAGGACACGACAACATTTCGAATGATCAGTTCGCTCATTATCATGTAGCCATCTTACTGTATTTCCCTTTTTGTCCCTTTATCTTCAATTAGTTACTATATTTTGTTCCGTATAAAATGTTTGTTCCATATTTACTGATATTGATAAGTTCCGAACAAAAAAATATCATCTGAAAAAAAAAGAGAATTTTTAAAAAAAGTAGTGGGTTTTGACACCAAAATGTTTGCTTTCCATTCAAAAAGATAGTGGAACGTCGAGTCACTGGCCGAAAAACTATGAGAAACGGTCCAAAACAGTCAAAAATGGCATGCTTTATCATGTAAAACTAGTTTAAACCACTTAAAATCCTCAAAAACCACTAAAAAACTCAAAAATGACACTTTCCAAAAAATTGTACCAGATGGCCTAGTGGGTTTTGACACCAAAATTTAAGGTCCACAAGGCCAAAAGTTCGATTCCTTTTAGGGGTGAAAGTTTTTTATTTTTGTGTAGACCTCAAAAATGAAGTTTTTAGGCTCATTTGAGGTGTGGAAATGAGATTTTTAAAATTTTGAAAAAAAAAATTTTTTTGAAAAAAATCGAAACCGTTTTTCTGCGAAATTTGATCATTTTTGGTTTTTTTAGACATGAAAAAAGTTCTTAAATCACTAAAAACACCCTAAAACCCCAAAAAAACCGTCAAAAACAGCGATTTTCAAAAAATTGTACCAGATGGCCTAGTGGGTTTTGACACCAAAATTTAAGGTCCACAAGGCCAAAAGTTCGATTCCTTTTAGGGGTGAAAGTTTTTTATTTTTGTGTAGACCTCAAAAATGAAGTTTTTAGGCTCATTTGAGGTGTGGAAATGAGATTTTTAAAATTTTGAAAAAAAAAATTTTTTTGAAAAAAATCGAAACCGTTTTTCTGCGAGTTTTGATCATTTTTTGTTTTTCTAGACACGAAAAAAGTTTTTAAATCACTAAAAACACCCTAAAACCCCAAAAAACCGTCAAAAACAGCGATTTTCAAAAAATTGTACCAGATGGCCTAGTGGGTTTTGACACCAAAATTTAAGGTCCACAAGGGCAAAAGTTCGATTCCTTTTAGGGGTGAAAGTTTTTTATTTTTGTGTAGACCTCAAAAATGAAGTTTTTAGGCTCATTTGAGGTGTGGAAATGAGATTTTTAAAATTTTGAAAAAAAAAATTTTTTTGAAAAAAATCGAAACCGTTTTTCTGCGAGTTTTGATCATTTTTTGTTTTTCTAGACACGAAAAAAGTTTTTAAATCACTAAAAACACCCTAAAACCCCAAAAAACCGTCAAAAACAGCGATTTTCAAAAAATTGTACCAGATGGCCTAGTGGGTTTTGACACCAAAATTTAAGGTCCACAAGGGCAAAAGTTCGATTCCTTTTAGGGGTGAAAGTTTTTTATTTTTGTGTAGACCTCAAAAATGAAGTTTTTAGGCTCATTTGAGGTGTGGAAATGAGATTTTTAAAATTTTGAAAAAAAAAATTTTTTTGAAAAAAATCGAAACCGTTTTTCTGCGAGTTTTGATCATTTTTGGTTTTTCTAGACACGAAAAAAGTTTTTAAATCACTAAAAACACCCTAAAACCCCAAAAAACCGTCAAAAACAGCGATTTTCAAAAAATTGTACCAGATGGCCTAGTGGGTTTTGACACCAAAATTTAAGGTCCACAAGGGCAAAAGTTCGATTCCTTTTAGGGGTGAAAGTTTTTTATTTTTGTGTAGACCTCAAAAATGAAGTTTTTAGGCTCATTTGAGGTGTGGAAATGAGATTTTTAAAATTTTGAAAAAAAAAATTTTTTTGAAAAAAATCGAAACCGTTTTTCTGCGAGTTTTGATCATTTTTTGTTTTTCTAGACACGAAAAAAGTTTTTAAATCACTAAAAACACCCTAAAACCCCAAAAAACCGTCAAAAACAGCGATTTTCAAAAAATTGTACCAGATGGCCTAGTGGGTTTTGACACCAAAATTTAAGGTCCACAAGGCCAAAAGTTCGATTCCTTTTAGGGGTGAAAGTTTTTTATTTTTGTGTAGACCTCAAAAATGAAGTTTTTAGGCTCATTTGAGGTGTGGAAATGAGATTTTTAAAATTTTGAAAAAAAAAATTTTTTTGAAAAAAATCGAAACCGTTTTTCTGCGAGTTTTGATCATTTTTTGTTTTTCTAGACACGAAAAAACAGCGATTTATGAAAAATTGTACCAGCTGGCTCAGTGGGTTTTGGCACCAAAATTTACGGGAAATTTAGGCATTTTATTTTAGGAAGAGAACACAACAAGGAGTAAACAAAGATAACAAGGGGGAAAAATAACGAAAATGGCCAATTTTTGAGTCCAAAATAGCAAAAAATCGGCTTTCAAAACTTTTTTTAAAAAAACGACATAAAATAGCAATTTTGAGCCAGAAAATGGAGAAAAAGGTTAAAATTTGATGTGTTTAGCAGTTTTCTTGGTTGCTGTCGCTGCTGCTTTCTTGAATCCATCGTTTCCTCCGTTTTGGGCTCCAGAATTTCCAGAATTTTCCGTCGGATCGTAATCGGCGTCTGCCGATTGGCTGGCCCAATTCGAAGCGGCACGAGCGGTGAAATCTGCAAAAATTGGGATTTTTTGAACAATTTTCGACCAATTCTAGAACCTGAAAAGATTTTTGGCTGAAAATAGCTCTGAAATTCCTAAAAAAACAACGAAAATGACGAATTTTGGCTTATTTTAAGCTAAAACGGAAAGGGTTTTTGGCTGACATTCGGCTAAAAAAGAGCCATAATTAATGCTGAGCAATATTTCGTTTTCCATAGTTTTTGGCTTTAAAACTCATAGAAATCGACTAAAAATTGCTGGAAATCGCCTGAAAACCGAATTTCTAGCTAAATTTTGGCATTTTTTGACATTTTCCGGATTACTGTAGGCCCAAAAAGTCTGCAAACACCGTCAAATCGACGTCTAGGACAGTTTTCAATGCTAAATTCGTTTTTCCCATAGTCAAGTTAGTCTAAACTCGCGAAATAAGCCCAAAATCTTAATTTTCGCGAAAATTCGGTGTTTGCGTACTTTCCGAGCTACAGTAGTCCCGAGAAATTCAAAATTGAGCTAGAAATGTCTAGTTTCCAGTGTCGGGGCCCAAATTTTTCAGGGAATTCGATTCTGGGCAATTTTCAGGTAATTTTCAGCCAATTTTCATGAATTTTGAGTGATTTTCCTTACGTTTCTTCTGATTAAAAGCTCCTCCAGCCTTCTGTGCCGCCAATTCCGGACAGTCTCGCTTCAAATGATTCGTCGCTCCACACACATTACACGCGCCGCCGTCCGGATAGACTCCATTCAAGTTCTGATGACAATCGCGGGAGATGTGGCCGATTTGTTTGCAAACGAAGCATGTCGCGTAGGGGAATCCTGGAAAATGAGCAATATGAGCTTGAAATTTGAATTCCTTATAAAATTTGAGGCTAGAAGCTGAAAACTAGGAAATTCTAGCTCAATTTTGACAGTTTTCCTGGATTACGGTAGCTCGAAAAGTACGCAAACACCGAATAAGCCCAAAACGCCTAATTTTTGAGTTTCTAGACTGGAAATTCGTCTTTGAGCTCATTTTTGATGTCAAAAATGCGTTAAAACGTCTCTAAAAACTTAAAAACTAAGTTTTTCAAATTTTTTTCGAGTTACTGTAGATTGAAAAGTACGCAGACACAAAATATGAGCTTAAAATCTGTATTTTCCACAAAATTTGAGTTTAGAAACAAAAAAACTAGAGGTTTCTAGCTTGATTTTGACAATTTTCGAATTTTCTGGGTTACTGTAGTTCCAAAAGTCCGCAAACACCGAATGAGCCCAAAACGTCTAGTTTTTGGGTTTCTAGACTGAAAAATCGACGATGAGCCTATTTTTAGAGTCAAAAATGCGTTAAAATGTCTCGAAAAACTCGAAAACTGATTTTTCGCAATTTTCGAGATTACTGTGGGTTGAAAAGTACGCAAACACCGAATAAGCCCAAAACGCCTAATTTTTGAGTTTCTAGACTGGAAATTCGTCTTTGAGCTCATTTTTGAAATGCGTTAAAATGTCTCTAAAAGCTTAAAATCTAAGTTTTTCAAATTTTTTTCCGGGTTACTGTAGATTGAAAAATACGAAAAACTGTATAATGAGCAATATTAGCTTAGAATTTGAATGTTCCACAAAATTTAGGGCTAAATGCCGAAAACTAAAAGTTTCTCTAGCTCAATTTTGCTGAATTTCGAATTTTTGGGTTACTGTAGTTCCAAAAGTACGCAAACACCGATTGAGCCAAACATCCTCAGTTTTTGGGTTTCTAGACTGGAAATTCAAATTTAAGCATAGTTTTGATGTCAAAAACGCGTCAAAACGGCTCTAGAAGCTCAATATCTGATTTTTCCCGATTTTCGGGATTACTGTAGGTTGAAAAGTACGCCGACCCAGAATATGAGCTCAAAATCTGAATTCCCTACAAAATTTGAAGCTAAAAGCTGAAAACTAGAAGTTCCTAGCTTGATTTCAACAATTTTCAAAATTTTCCGGGTTACTGTAGCTCTAAAAGTACGCAAACACCGAATGAGCCCAAAACGCCTAGTTTTTGAGTTTCTAGAACGGAAAATCGATTTAAAGCTCAATTTGAGTGTCAAAACAGGGTCAAAATGGCACTAAAAGCCAAATTCCACGATTTTGAGGTCAAAAATTCAGTATTTTCAGCCAATTTCAGCCAAAAAATCGATACCTTTAACGCCCTTCTTCTTGCACTGATGAATCGAGTGCTCCATGGATCCACACTTAAAACAGACGCCGTCGGATTGAGAATCGTTTCGTTTCGGGCAATCGACGAGACGATGTCCCGGCTCTCGGCAATGGAAGCAAGCGGCACCGCTGAAAATCGGAAAAATGTAAATTAGATCAATTATCTCGGTTACTGTAAGAGACATCAAAAAATGGTAAACTGATAAATTGTTAATCAAATTATCAGAAACATTTTATCAGTTGACCACTTTTTGATATCTTTCACAGGAACCAAGATAATTGAGCTCAAAGTTAACGGTTCGTGGTGGCCTAACTTTTGCAAACTCGGTTTTCTAGGCCACCACTTCAAAATTGTCTTAAAATGGTTTAGAAATGCCCTGGAAATCGCTGATCTCTCATGTTTCCCTCATTTTTGAGTCTAAAATTGATTTTTAGCGAGTTGTGGCTCATTTCTGACCAATTGTGCCTCAAAAAGTGTGTTTTTTGGCTTATTTTCAGCCAATAATGGCTCTAAAAATGCGATTTTTGACTCCAAAACCCACGTAATCTTCTGATCCTGCCGCCCGATTCGTCTCGTTTCTCTCGTTTTCCATCTCTTCACCAACACCATTGCATCCGTCGCCGTCACTTTTCCCGCCGCCCGCCAATCATTGATTTTCTGCTTTACAGCTTCCAGTGGAGCACCTTCGCCCAGCGTTTTGTTCAATTTGTCACGGAGACGCTGAAAATTTGCATTTTTTGGTTGAGAATCCAGAAAAAATGATCCAAAATGACCCAAAAATCGTAAAAATAGCAATTTTTTGGATTACTGTAGTTCCGAAAGTCCGCAAACACCACGAAAACGCCATCTTTAGCCTATTTTTATAGCTGAATTCGTTTTTCCCACACTAAAATTGATCTAAACTTGCGAAATCAGCTCAAAATCTCTTTTTTTTTAATTCGGTGTTTGCGTACTTCCCAAGCTACAGTAATCCAAAATTGTCTCAAAAATCGAGAAGAAACTCGAATTTTCTTGCTAAATTCGTGTTTTGCACAAAATTTGGACTTAGAATTTTAAAACTAGACATTTCTAGCGCAATTTTGATTTTTAAGGATTACTGTAGCTTCCAAAAGTCCGCAAACACCCGAAAAACTGCGTCTAGGACAGTTTTCAATGCCAAATTCGTTTTTCCCGCAGTCAAATTGGTCTAAACTCGCAAAATAAGCCCGAAATCTCGATTTTCCAAAAATTCGGTGTCTGCGTACTTTCCAAGCTACCGTAATCCCGAAATTGGCTTGGAAATTGACCAAAATTCGTATTCTGCACAAAATTTGGGTCTGGAAACTGAAATCTAGAAGTTTCTAGCTCAATCTTGAAATTTTCAGGATTACTGTAGCTTCCAAAAAGTCCGCAAACACCGGCTAAACGTCGCTTAGGACAGTTCTTAGTGCCAAATTCGTGTTTCCCACGGCCAAATTAGTATAAACTCGCGAGATAAGCTCAAAATCTCAATTTTCGCGAAAATTCGGTGTTTGCGTACTTTCCAGGCTACAGTAACCCAAAATCTGTGAAAATTGTCAAAATGAAGCTAGAAACGTCTAGTTTTCAGTGTCCGAACCCAAATTTTGCAAGGAAATCAAATTTGTGACTAAAAAATTGAAATTTGAGGGTTTTGAGGTCATTTTTGGTCTAAAAATCATGAAAAATGACTCAAAATGCTTAAAAATGGAAAAACTCACCTTAATACGCAAATTTCGATTATAAACTCTGTAGAGTGTGTGTGCCTCGTCTACAGTAATCTTTCCATCCTCGACGTCCTTTTTGATGATGGCTTCGCCCTGAAAATTGGAGATTCTTTGGCTTAAAATGGCTGAAAATCACATTTTTAAGCCCAAAATGACTGAAAATAGTCTGAAAATTCAGGATTTTTGGCTTAAAACAACTTTAAAATCACGGTTTTCAGCTCAAAATCATCTGAAAATCCAATTTTTTGGCTCAAAATGGTCTGAAAATCATAATTTTCAGTCCAAAATGACTGGAAACTGGCGCAGACGAAAATTCACGATTTTTGGCTTAAAATAGTCCAAATTTCCAGATTTTCGGCTTAAAATCACTGAAACTAGTCCTAAATTTGTGAATCCTGGGTGAAAATGAGCTAAAAATCACATTTTTCGACTCAAAGTGCCTTCAAAATCATAATTTTGGGTCCAACATGACGGAAAATTCGCTCAGACGGAAATTTATCATTTTTGTCTTAAAATAGTCCACATTTATAGATTTTTAGCTCAAAATTGCTGAAATTAACTATAAAATCCCAAAATGGCTGAAATCTGGCTCAGGCGAAAATTCATGATTTTTAGCTTAAATTAGCTCAAATTTCCAGATTTTTGGCTTAAAATAGCTTAAAATAGTCCTAAACTCGTGAATTCTGGGTAAAAATGAACTAAAAATCCCGTTTTTTTGGCTCAAAATACGCTGAAAATCACATTTTTCGCCTTAAAATGATCTTAAAATCGTAATTTTCGGTCCAAAATACCTCAAATCAGAAATGTTTGAATTTGGCTCAAAATGGTCCAAATTTCCAGATTTTTGGCTTAAAATGACTGAAAATACTCTGAAAATCAAGGTTTTTGGCTGAAAAATCCCATTTTTCGCTTCAAAAACTCTCAAAATGCTCCAAAATGCTCCAAAATTCTC